ATATATATATATATATATATATATCGTACCTTGCAAAATCCTTCCGACATAATATGAGGCCATTACGAGTGAAACATGTTTCACTCAGTAATTCTTTGCAATCTGCACACTGAATACAACCTGCATGCCAAGTTTTTTCAATCACGTGGAATACGTAACGATCCAATATAGCATTATTACAACCAGCGCAAATTGCCATTATTAGGATGATGTTTGGTTTCACGCACGCGAAAACCAATCAATCATATATGATGGATAGTTAGAATGAAATATGAAAAATGATGAAAATAGTCTATAAATGCTATAGAATTGGAATCAAATTGAGAATTTCTTCAGATTTCTTTTGATTGTACCAAGATATCCCAGAAGAATTTTCAAGTTCACAAGTTAATTGAAAAAAGACAAATACAGCCAAGGGAATAATTATTAAATCAGCAGAGTGATATGATGACTGATGATAATGATGATGATAATAATAATAATAATAATAATAATAATAGTAGTGAATAGCAATGACAAGAGTAGTGATGTGAGGAGTAGTGACGGTAGTAGTAATATTAATAATAGTAGTAATAGTGTAATCGTATTAGTAATAGTAATAGTAATAGTAATAGTAGTAGTAGTAGTGTTAGCCAAAATTATTCAAGAGTAATCCGAGACCGAGAGGAGAGAGGGGAAGAGAGGGAATCGAAGGGGAGGCGGAGATTATTATAGTACAGTCTGCTTCGTAGAGAAGGGAATAGCGATGATTTGTGCCTTTTTTTATCTTTCTTTTGAAAGAATGAATATTCGCAGGTTAAGGAGTGTGATAATATGCTTAGCAAGCAAAGGAATTGTGATACGATTAAGCTAGAGGAGGGAGAGAAAAAGAGAGAGAGTAAGCTTCAAGCGCATTGTTTAAGTCTCATTATTTGCTTGAGAATAGCCAAGTACTGAGAATTTTAAGCGTTGACAGAATTCCATAAAATCATTATCATCATATTATCCAGTGCTTAGTATTCATTTTCAAGCTTCGAATAAGTAAGAGCAGCACCTGCCGAGAGAATAGGTGGCTGTGGGCAGTCCTTTTCTTTTCAGTTTAACTTGCTTTACTCACAGGCAAAGCAAGAATGCTATTGGATCGATAGCAAGAAAAGGAACGCCTCTTCCTCTTTTCAACTTTTTGCTCTCACCAGATTACTGTAATCGGTGAGCGAAAAAACACTTCTACATTTACGCAAATAGATATGAATTAGTAAATAAAGTAGAGTAAAAGTTTACATGCATACACATAGACATATAATGTTAACGAAGTAAAGTGCTTAACTACATGAAAACATAGAAGACAATTATTGATTAATTTGATATTCTTGCCGTTTCACTTACAAGAATTACCCCATGTGAAGCACAACTCGACTATTTAATATATATGCATTGAGTAATTTGCATAAAAATAACGTCAATCAATACTGAATCTTGTAAAACTGCTCCACAGAGTTATGTTTTTGGATGTATTTTACACAATTGAAGCAAGATTTATTCGACCATTTAATAGAACGGCGGGATTGATTAACAGAAGTGTGAACATCACAATCTGATTTTCGTACTCTGTGATTCTTGACAAATTTTATAACTAGAAGCAGTACCTAATCTTCATGAATGCAAGTTTTTCTTCCCTCTGAATTTCAGCAATGACTTCAAGTTCCAGTATATTATTACACATAATATCCGACAAAAGGGGTTTTATCACTTGGCAATAACAATACATGTATATCCCTTTGGAACAATTACTTCTCTCCGCACTGTTTTACTACCAGTATAGATCTCTAACATGTTAATTCAAATCAAAGAGGCTTTGGTATAAAATCCCAGAGTTGAACCACTTTGATGGATATTGCGCAACATTACCATACACTTCTCTCAACCTTGGTTTCATATTTTTCGGGTCTCCAAAAATTGAAAATAAAATTTGGATGGGACATTGTATACAATAGTGATACTGTCTTCACAAGAAAATAGGAACGACCTTCAAAATCTCTTGCTCATGGGCATGGCTACATAGCACGAAATGCAGCATAAATTAATTACAAATTAAACTTCATACTTCTGTTCAGGAAGTTCATGAGTGAAATAAAGTACAATGAAGCTTGCAAACTCTTGGTTAGCCAATCTTTATCAATTCACCAGAAAAACTGGTATTCAAAACTTCGGTTCAGAAAGCCACCAACTGGTCCCCAAAATCTCCTTCTTTGTATTTATTGCGAAACTGATCTAAGATCTTGAAATGAAATTAAAACGAAATACGCGCACAATACTTAGTTTTGTCTTAATTTGAATATCATCAGAATATATGAGTGAACAGCAATCAATAAATACCATTTATGATCACTGCAGTAGTGAACATCTATTGGTCAACAAAACACCTATTACTGAAGTATATTTCAAGAAAAGTAAATACACAACATGGCCATACTTGAAAGTTCTAAGAAAAACAAGGAGCTTAGAAACAAGTAGCAAATTTACTTATAACGATCAGCTGAGAGCTGAAACTAAATAGATTCCAGAGAATTATAACATACTCAAAAAAAGCTGAACGCAAAAAAATAATTAAAAATGGAAGGGTATCGTGTTTCAAACTATAAAATAGGGCACAGCTGATGGCTCATTTTCAGCGAACAAAGATTTTTAAATACCAATGTATCGAAGAAGCTATTACATAAACAAAAATATACTGACAAATTGTTTTAAAAATCAGAAATTCAAGGGCGTCCCATATACACTGAAAACATCGAGGAATTCTTGTTTGTGATAGGATGACGTAAATTCGAAGAATAATTGTGCATAAAAACATCGAAAAAATCGAGCTGTTCCAGGGAAGCCATAAACTGGACCCGATGTCAAAATAGTTTCTTCCAATTGCAGGAAGCAAGTTGCTCCCTATACCAACCACTAGAAAATGTGAAGGTTACCAATTTCATAATTGCGCTTCTTTAGTTTCTTTTGGATCTGTAATTCTTAATCCATCAACTCCTGAAAAACACCCTAGAATGCTTCTGCATCTTGTGTTAACTAGCTATCTGACCTTAATCTAGTAGCTTCAATGATTTCAGTCAATCATTAAGCTTTTCAAACCTATTTGCTTAGTAACGTCAACGATTTCTATTCAATTGTCCCATCTACGGGCAAATCTCTGCTTCAGTGACTTCAATTCATCTGTCTGATTAATTGGAAACCTCCTTGTAGAAAATATTGTAGAAAATATTCTGAAAAATAGATTCAGCAATCAAAGCTACTTTACACCAATACTCCGCTCTTTCTATACTACCTGACACAAACAAAGATTTATTACGAATATATCAACCTACTTCCCGAAATCAATAGATACCAAATTTTGATAAGAAAAAATTAGTCTGAACTAACGCAATCACTAACTGTTTGTTTTTATCTTCTTTTTCACAAGGATGAAACAACACGGGTAATATAGGCAAGTCACTAGAGCTATCTGAATCGCTGTCGTTGTTTGAATCCGAACTTGAATTACTGTAATCAGAGACATTCTATCTAATCTTGGTATAGTAGAGTTTAAAACTTCGAAAGAGAGAAACCACTGTTAAATATCCTTGAGAAACATAAAAAACAGTTAAAACAAATAAATTGGCACAACTAACCAAGGAAAAAAATATACAAAAAAAAAATATCTAGTTCTCTAGAACAAACAATTCCTTATAATTATCTGTTCTGAGATACCCTACCTTGAAGAAGCATAATCTGCCATACCAGGAAGAACACCTCCCATTTTTATTGCTGATGGGTATGCGTACATTTTAACCATTGCGCTTGGTCGCTTCTCTATGTCCTTATCTATTTCAACATCACTGAAGTGAAAATTAATTTAATCTTTAAAATTTTTCAAAAATAGACACACAAACAAATGAAATGCTATTCATACCTTATATATTAATGATCAGTACAGCTTGAAAAATAACTTTACAAATTTGCTTTTAGTGATAAATGATTTCTGACTTCATGACTTACCTCTTTCTTTTAACAGCCGTGCGAATGATTGCAGCCTGTTTATTTTCTTTAGGTGTTGAGTCACTAGGTTTCACACGCAAATCGGATACTGAAGGAACATTCTCAACTGTATTTAAACATGTCTGCACGCGGTCGATCTCACTTAACAGCGCTTTCTCCTCCTCAAAAGAATTTCGAAATAAACTTTTAAAATAACAAGCAATGTCAACCCATTATTCAGAACTTATAAAAAAATAGATGTCAGAAGCCCACAAAAAATACATAAGAAACGAAACAATGTCAAGTGATTTGCAAAAGTACGAAGCGTATTCTTCAACTCTCGCAAGGACAAATAAGCAGAACTCAACCTTAGTTTGCTCCATAGTTTGTTTAGCTTTACAGTCTTCAACTCTAGCAAGGAAATCGCATTCATCAGTGTCAAGTCCTCTAACCAAGTTTTCTGAAGAAAAGTGATTTCAAAATGTAGAAATGCCTTATACGCAAAGTGCTTTGAAAATTTTTCCTAATAATACGTCTACAATCAGTACCTGCTGTACTTATTTTTTCAAAGACCCTAATCATGTTTTAAAAACCAGAAAATTCACTGAATCTATGCTCTTCTTCGTACTCTTCCTGCTTTCGATCACGGACTTCCTTCAAACGATCATATAGCGATCTATTGTCGCCTTCTTCTTCCGGTGGATCTAATCAAGAATAAAGGTTCGAAATGTTTCGATAAAAATCTGTACCATGTAACTATAGAGTAAATGCAAAGTATGACATTTATATTGTATTTTATTAGTTTTTACATAATTTACAATATTCCACTGAACGTAAAAAGCATACTATTATTGAAAATATTACAAATAAAGTCTCAAAAAACCAAGATTAATATGGTAATGGTAGAAGTAAGAGTGACTGCTATATTTTAGATAATGGTGTGAAAAGCTTCACTGAAGAAAGTTAAGGATGAATTATTTTTAATGCACCAGAAAAATCAGAAACTGCTAATCACAAAAGTATGCTAGTAGAATTTTCGTTCGCTTAATAAATGAGGACTTACGTTCAGGATCCCCTGGTTTACGGACTTTCTCCCACTCTTCTTGTCGTCGTTTTCTAGCTTCACTCAACTCTTTTTCACTGACAAAACGATCAGACATTCTGAAACAAATCAAAGACACTCTAAATTAACCGCAATAAATGGAACAATTGTTGAAATATATGAATATTATTGCAATCAGTTTGGGCACAACAGCAAGACTTGAGAATCTGTCACAATACATTGTAGTGAACTTTATGCTGATAGAAATGTTAAAACAGAGCTTGTAAAATTACTTTAAAAAATTTGAATGCAAATTCACCAATTACACAGATTAATTTCACATAAGAAAAAAAAACATATCATCAATACAAAGTACATATCCCAAATAAAGTACACAATTAGATTTTAGAACATATGAGAAAATCTTGGCATCCTTTTTCATAGCGTATTTTCAAAATGGCCTGTATTTTGCAAAAATGAAATCATTATGAAAGTAAGCAAACTTTCCTCACTATTATTTCTGAGGAGGGCATTATTTGGTACTACACTTTTGCCTGCCTATTATAGCTACAACATGCCTGTCACTGCTAAGCTATTTCAAGGAATTACATCACCCAGCAGTTAATCATCAAATCTTAGTCATTAATAATTCATTCAGTTCGCGTATTTAAATAGAATCCTGATTACTACCACTTCCCGCTTCACTCCACCAATCTCCCTTACCCCAAACTGATCAAAAATCAACTCACAAACAGATTCCAACTTTTCTCAACCGACCATTCTATTTTATCTACCGCATTCAATTTGCTTTCAAACGCCAGTTGTCTATTACAGCTAAAAGAAAAAAATTTACTCTTTATAACTGCCAAATTGCCTACGTGTAATTAAGTAAGTGCATATTTTTCGTATTTTTCAGTTTGATGTTTGCACTACATGACTTGACTCTTTAACCTTTGACTTTAGAAATATGCACTCAACAAGCATGCACTCAACAATGATGTAGATTATACACAATCTCGTCGAGACCTGTGTTAGTCCACTTGCGTGGGATGAGCAAAATATTCGGTATGTGTAATGCGGTTAATGTATTTTATTCAAGTGCAAATGGATCGGATGTACAGTGTAAAATGTGAATATTTGAATTGCCGTTATAAAAGTTGTTAATAAACGCGGGAAAGTATTTGTTGTTACCGGGCATGAAAAGTAAGCCACAGCTAGTTATAACTATATTTGAAAATAAAGCAGTCACTCGTGAAATGGAATAGTAAACGTGACTAATTATATTGCACTTTGTCATAGGCGACGTGAATAAATACTTTTCTAAAATGATTTGTTTTAAATGATTTACGATGTCATGAGTGGACATGTAACTGTTTCTGCAAATTACAGTTGAAGAAAGTGAGAGGAATGTTCAGTGACTCTCATAATAAATATTAATACCTTTCAGTTTCAGTTCAGTGCCGAAAAATGATTGATTTTTGGCTTCTCCATCTCGCATTTTAAATCTCCACCACTTTCTCTTCTTAGAATCTCATGTTCGCATAATTAGCTTTTTTGTAGTCTTTGTTCCTATTATTTTTTGAAACAAGTTCCTGTAATGCTGATTTTGCATAAGATGCAGCTCTCACTGATAATATTGTCAGTTAAGTATAATAAATTATGCATAAATAGTATTGTTTTCTCTCTGTATAGCCCAAATTATCATATCATTGTTGCTGTCTTAATTTTTGGATAACTACTGGTTCGAAGTTGGGACTGTTAATTTGGATGATTAAGCATGATGGATTCAGCAACGTGCATTAATGACCAAAGCAGCAACGTTTCTTGGCAAATCGTCAAGTACACGAAGCTAGCTGGAACTCGTTTGGTAATAATTTTACTAACAGGAAAAATGTGAACATAATAAGTATAGTGAGTTCATTCACAGCAAAACTGATAGATCATTTTTAAAATTGTGACGTTTTCTCAGTCGTTGTGATTAGTTTAATCACGAAAAGATAGATTTTAATTTCTGAATTGTTTAACTGCCATGTTTTTTTAACTTCCTGTATTTTTTCTTGCAGTGAGCACAAGAAATCTTTATTGCTCTCAATTCTAGTTGATTTTTATTATATGTAAACTATGTGCTCTACGTACAAACTGTTTCTTTTTTGTCCACTTGAAGGTTGGCTATTGAATAATGATTTTAGGAAATATCAGTATCACCTGGACAATTTATGAATCTTACTTATAATAAAAGTCGTTGCTTTCTAAGTGTAGTGTACAATTCATTCACACTTGAAGAATTTCCTCTGTCGGGGAATCCTCGGCCGACCATTCGTACCAAAGAGAAGGATATTTTTGTTCATCTTGTATCATCAGTAAGTTACTTTTCCGGATTAGTTTCATGCATTCAATTTTTTAAATGGAAATGCAGGTGGTTGTGGAAACAGTTGTGCAACTTAATGCTCTCGGGAATCGATATAACTAATTGTTTTCAGAAAGCTTTGGAATTCAATGTATTCTGTGTAAAATTAAACTGAACGCATTATATTAATGTTATCTGAGGACTTTTCAATTGATTAAAAAAAATTTTTTTTTGTTCTTTTTAGAGTGGTGCTACACTAACTAGATTTCGCTTGAAATTTGCAAATCATTCTGATCATGCTTCATTTGTTGAACTTGTGTCATTTTTTTTTCAAGTTCAACGATTATCGAGCATCAATAGTACGTCTGATTTCAGTCAGTCATTATCGGTAAGAACATTTGCTATTCAGTTACCGATTCCTTTCTTATCGTAGGAATATCTGTTGTAGCTTTTACTCTAAATCATATATGAATGTTAGTCAATACATTGAACAATTCGGAGCATCACGAAAATTTTTTATTTGTTGTAGCAAAGTGGTACTGAAATGCGGTCTTATGAAGGGAGCTCTCAATTAAGTTTGTTTAGCAATGATACTTCTTCTCAAAAATCAATGTAAGTGTTATTCTTATCACAGCTCTCGACTTGCAAAGTACAGTTTAGCAAATAAGTTTCTAATTAGTATTATGTACTGATATGTATTCAGGAGTTGCATCAGTCATCCTTCAGAGCCTACATCAGATTTGCATTCTACTCAGACTTCATTTAGTCAAGTCTTCTTACCTATGGTATAGTATCATTTTGGTCATTTGCACAACTTAAAAAAGAACTGAGTAGAAACTTTAGGTAACGAAAAGTTCGATTTGACCAAAAGCTATTTTCATTAATTAAAATTTATGTATCTTCACAATCTTTTTTTATTATTTGGTGAGCTGTAACTTACCTTTCATTTTAATATTGTAGAAAGATGTAATTATAATGTTTTGATTTGATAAAGAGCTGTGGATTTTTTATTATTTTCGTCAATTTTTTTAGTAAAAATAATATTATATGAAAATAGTAAATAAAAAAACGCACATTTCCAGAATATTAAACGTGATCCGGCACTTCAAGAACGCAGTGCATTTAGCCAACCGGTATAAACATTTATCTCATAATTCTAATTTTAAATATTCATCTTCAGATTGTTTTGTATATATTTCAGAGTTCAAAATATAATTTTTGGTCAGAGTTTTTGAAAGAAAATGAATTTTAGACTGCTGTTGAAGAAAAAGTTTATGAAGTATTAAAATCAGTACAGTACTCCGCAAAAAGGAAATTTTATGAATTCTCTGAATCTGATCAAGTACCATTTCTTCAAGTAATTTTCAAAAACAAACCTTAAAATTTAAGATATAATCCTCGTGACATTTCATGTTCTGATTTCTACAAGTATTTAATTAGATACGAGTTAATGTATGTTGGAAATTTTGGAAAAAATCACTTTTGTTGCAGATTTCAAATTCCCAATCTTTGAATTCTTCAGCAGTTTCGGAAATAATTGATCAAAAAGTGCCATGTACAGTGCATGATGTAAGTGCTTTCCACCACCTTGAAAATTCTGATTTGATTCCATTTTACATTTTATTTTGCCATTTTTCTATAATTTTTTTGCATCGTTCATTTTCGCAGTTACTGAAATGATATTAAAAATGTGTTTACCGATCAAATCTGGAATTGGTGATGATATAACTCATAAATTTTTATATTTGTATAGTTTCACCGAACTGCTAGCCATGAAAGTATGCATCCATCGATTATGAATTTTGCAAAACGACCGAAAGAAGATGTGGTTAGTTACTTTTTTGTTTCGTATTTCATATGTGTTATTTAAAAAACTTAAGAATATTCCTTTGATATTTAACTATTTAAAATATTTTTCAATCATTTTTATATTACTTAATAGTAACAACTGATGCTAACTTCAAAACTGTCTCTTTGTTTTGTAGTGGCTTTACTGCACACTTTATACTAAGCAAGGGAGAGAATCTAGAACATTTAAAATTTCTTGTTTCCTGTTTTATGTTTGGTGTGTTAATTTTAAATTCATAAAGGGTGTTCAAACGAAACCTTATTTATCTATTGATGATCTAATGGATGATACAACGCGTTTAAAGGAGTATTTATCAAGAAAATTAAAAGATCAGCAGTTCCTCAAGTTTGTTGAAAAATGCGCGAAAGTTTTTGAAGAAGTTGCGAAAGGTAAGTTTCAGTTTTTTTAACTTTCGATTATGGTAGATCTGAATTCCTTGTAATTGATTTTAGATTCGCAGTTATAGAGTTTGTGCAATCTAGATTATATTTTATTATATTACAGATTCAGATATATGCGTACTCAAACACCCACGAAGAAAGTGATGTACTATTTAAATGATCTTCTGTCCTCCTCGTGCATTATCTATAGGAAATGATGACTTAAAATGAAATCATTTAATCACTATTTTGTTTTATTGCAGTTTTACAGTTTTATATTGTTTGATATATTGTATTGTTTTATATTGTTTTACAGTTTTATTTGTTTGTTTGTTTGAGTTTTATATTGTTTTCAATTTTCAGATACACTAAAGGTGAAATGGAACTTTCAGCAAAAATATCGTTTTACAATCTGTTTTATAGGATTTGATCGACTCTTAAAAAATTAGGCTGTGCTTATGATTTTTTTATCTGTTGTAGCAAAGTAGGTCGAAGTAATTTTTGTGGTATTACTGCCTGTCGTCAAGTGTTTTAATTTGTTTCGTTTTGTTTTACCATGTATAGAAACATAAATTGTTTTAAGAATATGTGTTTTATGAGATAAAAATCTTAATTTTATTAACGCTATCTGTGCAAAAATATTTAATTTGTTAACGCTATCTATGTGGCATCATTTGCTGTTAACTTATTAGTTAGTATTTTAGCTGACTCATAACTTATTTGATTACTATGAAAATCTTGTGCAAAGCAGTTGTTTTAATTTCAAGATCCTGTGCATTTGTTCATTAATTAGTTTTAGTCTGTTTGAATTGTTAGTTTTTGCATTGTTTCGATCTTGATGAGTATTTGAAGATTCCTCTTGAAATTTGAAGTATTCCCTCATCAAAATCGTTTTTGATTGATTTGTTAAGAAGCGTGCGCAATTCTGTAAATGCCCCAAAAAGGCTTTTAAACCTTTCTTAATTGTAATATAACTAGAAAAGAAGAGAAAATTCAATACTGACCACTGCTTCGAATACTAGAAAATTGAAAATTCCATGTCTTGCCGATCGCTAGACGGCATATACAGTGCATGAGAGTTATATCCATCGTTCAATATAATGAAATATTACTAGAAATGTGAATTATTTCAACGATGATATCTCTGATTCTTGAGGAATTTCTACTGAAAGTGTCATGATAGTCATGAGATGGAACTTTGTGTATGTGCATTTTTGGTTATCATGGACTAAATTAGTTGTAATTTTGATCGAAGACATAAAGATGCTAATTGTGTTTCGTCGTCAACATTAGATAGAAGTAGTGAAGTTTTGTCAATCAAATGAATCTATCTGTAGATTCCAATATTATGTTGAGTGGGTACTGATGATGCTCTCTAGAAGATTTTAGTATTCCAAGTTTCAGTCTGTATTATCCATGGCTGGGTAAAAGTGTTGACTTCATTCATTTTATTTTTCACAGTGGACGGAAGGTTTTATTCGAAGGTAGGCATTAATTTTGATTTCTTAAAGGCAGTAAAGGCAAGGGCGTTATTAAATTCAGCCACTATTAAAAATTAATTATATTATGACAGAAAGGTCGTAGTGTTGAGGAATGGCATATCTAAAGTTAACAGAAATGTTTGCATTATTTGATGTGCAGATTTCTTCTGCGACATTTTGTGCACATGCCATATTAGCATTATGAGTATGTGTGAATTGCAGTAGTTCTTTGAAAATCGATGGGAAAGAGTAATTTATAAAATTGGTTTAGGACATACTTTTAATGTATTTCCTCTAATGGTATATTGTTCGTGCAATATTTATACAATGAGCGAAAAATTGTTGCCTTCTAGCAAAGCAGTGATTGGCTGGATTGGAGACTTTGCCTTAGAGGTAACCAAATAAGGCAAATGAATAGTTAATAAGTTACATGTCAAAAAGGTGTGAACATAATAAAATATTTGAAAAGTAGTCTGTGTGAATACCGTATCGTATTGTAACTCTGCTTAAGATGTGTGGAAGAAAAAAAACCTTAGGCCTTTTTTTGCTAACAAAGAATGGTGTGATGGAGTGGACTGAGACTAAGTAGGATGGAGAATGCTTCGTCTTTTAGAGTTTGTGGAGTTGATTTCAATTACAGCTCATTAGGGAATGCATGGAAGGACGAAGCAGAAATAAATCGTAAGCAGTGTTGAAGCAAGTATAACAACCTTTTCTGGCAAATGAAGGCTTCTTTTTGCAAGCATTACTTTGCGAAACAAAGTCCAATAAGAGAAAATTTAATTTCGGATTTTCGCCGATTAATTTTGCATTCGGAGTGTAGTAGTGGTTGGTTTTATTTACTAATTGAGATAGAAGTGATGAAGATGAAGGTGCAGTCAAGGGAAAGCTCTTTACACTCTGAATCCAAAGAAGGTTGATTCACACCTTAACCTACCTCTTAAGATTTCATTCAAAATTGAAATACTCTTCGTCTGTATCTGAATTTGCAGTTTTCGTCTTATAATTAATCTAGCAAAAATAATCCAGCTAAAAATTTGAACCAAATAAAATGCTAGTGTAAGCAGCCGAGAGCAAGAAAGTACGGTTTTCGTTGCTTATCAGCATGTAAGATCAAGCAATTATTACACAAATGAGTTCGAAATTTATTACTTGTTTATTAATCAGTCTAGTAATACGCAGATAATAATCTCTCAAGCAGAGATAAATTTCAGGCCTTGCTAAATTAGATCTGAAACAGCAAGTATGCTCCTTTTTACGATTTTTAGCAAATTTACATAGGCTGTAATTTATTACTCAGTTGTTAAATTCCGGCATCTTACATTCATTCACTTCTTAACTAAGCCCTACGATTCAATTACGCATGCCTTTTTCGTCGTCTTTTCTTTTTTTCTTATGCATTAGCAAAGGAAATTATGAGTATTTGGATTAGATTGGATATTAGTTAGCCCACTTTAACACTGCAATGATTGCTACTCTCTCTGTTCTTTTGACAAAAATTATTGCTGCTGCTACTGCTGTTATTATTCCACGTTTATTTTATTTGCTATCCTTTTCATTTCAGATATCAAATTTACGATTAGCAACGAAAACTCTGCATTGAATTTTGATTAGCAAAATATCAAAGAATAAATTATTTATTTTTCAATTTTCCACTTTTTATCGGCATTAATTTCTTTTTTTTTTTCTACTTGGCGTAAAAGTATTTGAGTATTGAGTATCGAGTATTGAGCATTTGAGTATTTGCATAAATTTGTGAATTATTATATAACTTACTTACATATTATAGTAAATATTGTCAGGTTGTGGTTGTCAATGATGCTTCAGTTGTGAATCACAAAATCAAAAGCAAATTAATTATTCTCATTCTATGCGTAGACAGCATTCGGTCAAAGTGGTCGCTGTACTTTACACAAATAAACAACACTAATTGTTTACAATCATTTTATTTGCGCTTCTTAGAGAAGATTATATGAGTAATTTACATATTTTTGAGAGGAATTATGATATCACAAAACGTATCCTTTTTTTGCAAATTTTATTTTATTTCTAAACGTAAACTCTGTTTTTTAGACTAACATTTGTGACTAATTCCTTTGCAGAGTTCTAGCAGCTGGCATGCAGAGATCATGACATGATTGCACGTACATGTGAGTACTACAATTAAGTTCCTTGTAATACTGACATAATTTGCATTTCAGTTCGCGTCTTTTTCAAAAGTTCTTCGCATACTAAAGCGCTGCAAAACAGCATCAAAATTTAAAAATTTTATGTAGTTTTTAAAAACTCCATATTTCAGTTAATCTAATTATTTTAATTCTAAAGTTTTTTTTTAATTTTAATTATCCGTCGGATGCACATCTGTTATCAGTTGAAAGCTGAAATGTATAAATGTATGCATTGTATTCAGACATTCATGTTGAAGAACCCGCTTACGCAAGTATTAAAATAATTGATTTAGGCTTATATGCAAGCACTATGCATTAAATCTAATAGTTGTTGAAATAAGTTAACTATATAAGTAAAGTTAATTTAAGAATTAGTTAATGAGTTTGTTCATCTTTCAGTTAATTAATTAATGAGCTAAAAGATAAATGAACTAATCAATTGATGAATATAAACATGAAATATGTGAGATGAGAAGAAAAATTGAAAGGCAGTATTCTGCAAGCAACATGAATGAATAGCTGGAAGTGTTTAAATTGTGGGTACTCATTCATTCATGAATTCACTCACTCATCGGTTCAAATTTATCTAACGCCTGAACGAAGTAATAATATTTAATTTTCAAGCTTGGCCTGTTTTTATCAGCCAGCAAACCATTGATTTGGCATGTGTCTCTCTCGCAGCAATAAGTAATAACGTTTACTTGAGTGAATTTCACTATTTTTGTTCTGTCAAGTTTATTTATAAATCATTCAGTCTAAGCTAAAATTTGAACTCCTTCCAAAAATTATATCTTAATTATTCGCTTATTCAAAAGATAAAATTAAGATATTTGCGAAGAATTTTAAAAGCTAAAAAAAGTTCTGGCGCGTTTCAGAAATAATTCAGCTTTGAAAATTTCAAAGTGTTAAAGTTCATTACAGTTTATACAATATTACAAAAGCTTGTTCCAATTTTTCCATAATGTATACTGGAAAGGTTTTCTTGTTTTTCAAGCAGGCAAAATTTGTAAAGCTTGATAGTTTTCTTAAAAATATATTAGCATTAATTCTTTGAAAAAATTTGTAATTGTGCTAAATTTTGAATCTGAAGTCAGTGTTTGTACCATGCAAAGCTGAATGTTACATTTGTCGTTGAAATCTGAAAACAACTCGCAGCATCTGCTTGATTATTCCTAATTGATGCATATTTCTTCTTATAAATAAGCCATTAAAGAAAATTATATGATTTTAGCAATTTTTAATGACGATAATGCAAGTTTTCCTTGAAATTTCAAATTCATGGAAGAGGAGATTGCTGCAGAAATAACTTTTTTTATTGAAGCCAATTACGATTGCATCCAATTATTCAGTTACTTAGCAGCTTCAAGAAAACTATCTCTTTG